TCCAGGCCCATGGGGCCCAAGAAGCCTTGGTTTACAGTCTAGAGCATGTGACTGCCTTTGGGTAGACACAGGCCACTGTAACTTCTCTTGTCCCAATTGTCAAACACGGAGAATGAGCTAGCTGTGGATTGCGTGATGGGGCCAGCGGGATGACTCTCCGTAGCCTTAAGAACGCTTCCTCACACACTCACACGGAAGCACCCAGGCCTTTGTGCTCCCGCAGGTACCACCCAAGGCCCCAGTGGAGTGTGGGGAGAAAAGAGGTCTCCTGGTCACTGCAGGTCACACCCGTGGGTGATAGAGGGTGAGCGTTTACCCTCCCTGTGTGCACTGGTGTGCCCAGCGTACACAATGGGCACACAGATCCCTGTGCCCAGACGTCTACAGCAAGGATGCCTTGGGTGTGCCCCCTGTGCCCTGGGTGCTCATCAGTCTCTCTTCCCAACAGTACGGCCTCTACACAGCCTACATGGGGCACTTCGTCCATTTCTTCCTGGGCACCTCCTGGATAGTGACTCTGTGGCCCACGGCCATCAAGTCCCTCCTGGTCTCCTACACCTTCCATGAGCCCACGTGTGCTGAGGTGCTGCCCTTCCTGGGGGGCTGCATGCACGTAGCCCTGGGGCTCCAGCTCTTGGGTAAGACTCTGAGGCCCTCTTGCTTTGGTGGGGGGCTGTACTTCTGCTCTTCCTGGGGTCCTAGACACCTGTCTCCTTTGGATGCCCTGCCCTCAGCATTTCCTTCTTTGCATTCAAAGGGCTGCCCCTGTGTGTGTGTGTGTGTGTGTGTGTGTGTGTGTGTGTGTGTTGGAGAGGTACCCTCTACCCTCCGCCCTAGCCCATTCTGCTCAGAGGCCAGGACACTTGGGGAAATGTCCAGGGCCTCAGACCCTAGCCTCCCTTTCCTGCTCTCCAAACCAGCCCAAAAAGGACGTGTCACCCACCAGTCCCACCCATACCACTTCTCCCAGCCCACGTCCACCCATGTCCTCTGGGACCGAGCAGAGCTGCGACTGACTCAGTATTCCCTCTTGGTCAGCCAGGTTCCTGCTGGACGTCATCTCCTGCCCCGTCAGTCATGAAGGGTCCCACCCCCGCTGCTCCTGTCACCATCGGCCTTGGGCAGATCAAGGTGGGCTCGCTAGTTGGCGCCGCGGCACCTGCTGAGTAGCAGGACCATAGCGGTCCTGGTATGTGCGGACCACACGACACCTTGCTGTTCCAGAGCTCAGAGCACACAGTGCTCGCATGGGTCCCATGTATAAAACGACCCCTCAGGGGAGATGTTTGGGGAGGGTCAGATTCTACAGCAGGTGATTTGAGGGACCGGAAATGACAGGCCCTGCTCTTTTTGGAGTTTTCGCGCCGGAGTGCTTTCGTTCCCTCACAGAAGTGGTTCTGTTCCGCTGCCTCTACAACACACTCAGCCAGCAGCC